ATTCAATCTTGCCAAGATAATAGAATTTTAAAAAAAATAATCCAATGTGTGAAAATCATAAAAATTTTACAAATGAAATCCAAAAAATCGATATAAGATAAGATTTGATTCATAAAATTAAGATACATTCATGCTTTTCTAACTACCTTTAGGTATTCTCCTTGCATTCATTCTTATTCATATTATAATTAGAGTTAGATTAACTCTTTTTTAGAGTAATCACACGATGTTTTTTATTTACGAGATATGATCATATTAAATATCCCAAAGATAAGGTGAAAATAAGAATAAAACAAACATAAAAAGAAGGAAAATATGACAGTTTGAGAAGAAAATTTGCATGATCCCACAAATTAACATCACATAAAAGCATGATAATGATTACGTACAATGCATTTATGAACTATAATGGAATGAAGGCTAAGATAGTTGTGATAAGGAAACTACTCAATTTTGGAAACAAAAAGATGCATTTTCATAGCCAGTTATTCGGTTTCTCTCTTTTTCTTACGCTTTTGGACAAATTAGCCAATAATAAAGGCATCCTCAAATAGATTGGCGATAAACTAGGGGAGGAATGGTACTTCAAGACCTTTTAATCTTTTCTCATCATATAGGTTTTGATTTACGCTCCCTACTATCCTTAAGTCGTTCATTGCCATGTTCTAAAGAGGTCGATCCTAAAGCGATTCTTGCTTATTAGTATGAATCACATATGCAAGCTTTGAAAAAGTGATATAGATAGGAGGAATACTAATTATTTCATCATCAAAATCCTAACCTTCCTTGCGAGACCATCTTCTTCTTCCTTTTTGATCCTTAATTCTTAAATAATCTTTCGTTGTTGGCTTAAAACCCAATCCAAAATTATTATTAGCCTTTTATGAATCAACATAGTCTATCTTGTTAGATGACCTAGTTCTCAAACCATATGGTGATGGTCCATTATTGTCGAGTGTTTTGTTGTCATTTTCATAACTTTTAGTTATAGTTAAAAAATGACATTTGGCAATTTGTAACTCTCGAAGCTATTACTATAGTGAATTCAATTCTATCCACTCGGTATCCATATAGCTTGACTTCTTTTCTTTTAACGCCCATTGTTTGCATACCTATTTTAGATCTCTCCCTTTTTTCTTTTGTCATGAGAGTTGCCAAGACCGGTAGAGCTTCCACTTTTTCATGAAATTTATGACAATCTTTTATATCATGTCATTATTTTTATGGAACTTATAGAAATACTTGACATGGTCAAAAGCATGAGACTCAATAGATTTTTTATTAACGTTGATAACACTTATCATATAAAACAAATTTGACATAGAAATTTTCAAAGTCGACTCTAGAGGTGGCAATGTATCTTTTTTTCTTCATGATCGGGATCTCTTATGTCATTCAATGGTAGAAAATTCCTTCTATTAATAGTAACACGGTTGTTAAAAGGATTATTGTTCACATTTGGAGTGTTTGGAGTACCTTTTAAAAGAATCAAACCTTGGTCAATCAATGAGTAGATGTGTTTCTTAAAACTAAGACAATCTTTAATATTATAACCGAGCATGCTATCATGATACTCGTAAGACTCATTAGGATTATACCACTAAGAGAATAAAGGTTATCATAAAATAGTCATCATAAGAGTTACTTGATCGATAATTATAAGTTGCTTGAAGAGATCAATTAATAAAATAGGCGGAAGAGGCAAGAACTCTCTATATTTCCTATGACCTAAGTTTCGCTAATTATTTGACTTGAATGGCCTTTGTTGGTCGTTGAATGGTCAAAATTTTTGAGCCTTTTATTGTGACAAGGATGACTAGAAATCTTAAGATGAATAGACTTGTACATGCCCCCAAGCATAGTAGTGATAATAGGGATTACATTGCTCACACCCTTCTAGTTAGACATAAAAAGAGATTGCCTCGAGGATTCCATTTGAATAGTTGAACTTGGCATAATAGTGAACACTCTAGGGATGGTAGTTGATTGATCCATTCTTTGATTTAGAGGTGCTTTAATAAGTGTCCCTAAGCATAATGATGGTAACAAGGATTGTAATGTTCACAACTTTCTAGTTAGAAATAAAGAAAAGTGACCTCAAAGATGCCATTTGAGTAGTAAAACATAGTATAATATAAACACCCCATTGATGGTAGATAACCAAACCATCTTTTGATTTAGAGGCGCTTTAATAGGTATGTGGATTTATAGACTTTACTCAACTAAAATAGCTAGCCTAGACATCTCTATTTTTAAAGCACTTAACTCATTCTAATGGTTTTGCTAAAGTTGAGCTCTTTCTTCATTGTCCATTCTTGATTTGGCTTAAATTGTCAACTTTTGGGATAAAATGTAGTTTTGGTAAAATGACCTATGCTTCTTCATCTAAATAGAAAAAATAACAAAACATAATAATATAAAAAACATATTGACATAAAATAAAGATATTTAAGATTGGATATGGAGTAGCCTTCATGTGGGGGTAATAAGAAGATTCGAGTTATTGATTTTTTGATCCTTTTACATTGACTCAAGTCGGTTTAAAGATGAACTTAAATTTCATTAGTAACCTTTAAAAAACTCTAGCATGATGGATTGCCTTGTTGTTAATTGATTTAAAGATAGAGTTATGTTCAATCGGTAATCTTTGACGATTCTAATTGAGTTGTGAAATTTTTTTCATATTTAAATATTATAAAAAATAAGATATGAATCATCTTATCACCCATCCGGAAACATTCATAATCAAAATTTTCAATCAATGTTTCAATACATCTTACTTTTCTAATGAATTTATATAAGAAATATGATCATAAGGTCTAGTTTTAGTCATTATGTGAGTGAGCGGGATCTATTTAAGTCTCAAATAGGATCCTTTTCAGCTTAAGAGAACTAAGACTAACCAAATGTGAAGGTAGTAACCATGGTGATCATCAATTACTTATTATGATAATTGTAGCCTTCTAAAAACGTTGAGGTTTTGTAAGTGTTACCGGGGTAAAATCCATCATAGCACTAGTAATTCCTCCCTAAATCTAAAGGTAAGTGTGTAAGATAAATAATATATATAATGTTGTGTGTGAGGGTACAATCTCATATCCAATCTCAAAATCAAAACTAAAGACTAAGAATTAAATAACTAAGAGTTGTACAATAAAATAATGCAAATAATAGATATATTCACAAACATATTTTCACAACACATGTAAATAGTTAAACAATTAAAAGGTAATTATTCACCCAAAACATATAGGCACGAAGCATCACGGATAACCAAAGGTTTATTTACACGGAAAGTTTGATCCAAGCATGGCACATGTTCCTAATGGAGTCGTCATTCTATCAACGAGGGCCTATAGACCATCTCGAGAACATTAGTCACCATCTAACTAATCGGAAAGAACTAAAAAACCCTAAATAGACTAGTTTGCATAGACATTTGGTAAGAGGTTGGTTATGTATAGGGAAGATATAACATCATCGCCATCTTGTCCTACTTAAGATAGGCTATATTGAATGCATGTAAAAATAAAAGTATGGTGTGTGCTATGTAATGTTTCTATGTCTATTTAAGTGAATTCATTTTATTAGGATGAAAAAGTATAGTAATTCGGGGTTCGAGCTGATCCAAGGTCAATACCCATACTTAGAAGGAAAAGGTTGAGAGATTGAAATTTTAGCTAATCTCTTGTGAACACAAGCCTATATTGATAAATAAATAAGTTTCTAAAGATTAAGAGCCTATATTGATATGAACAAGAAATAACCAATAACATAACTTTAGAAAACTATTGATAACTTTATCACATAAATAAGAAGCCACCAACAACTCTAGTTTGCTCGAAGCAAAAGCGGATAACTAGTTTGGAAATCATCGACAACTTCATTATATAAGTTAGAAGCCACTGACGGTTTCATTTCTAACTAACAAAAAATAAGTAAAATGATTTCAAAACTACTAGCGGCTTTGTCACATAAGTGGAAGGCTACCAACAACTTCATTTCAATGATTAAAAATCAAATAAAAATAGTTTGGAAGCCACTTAACGGCTTCATCTATATAGATGAGAAGCCATCAATGACCTCTTTTTGACGAGAATAAAATATGCAACATGACTTCGAAACCACTAATGGCTTTTTCACATAAGTAAAAAGCCACCAAATATTTTATTTCAATGATTAAAAATTAAATAAAAATGGTTTGGGAGCCACTGGAGGCTTTATCCATATAGGTGGGAAGCCAGCGATGGCCTCGTTTCTAACGAGCGAGAAAACATGTAAAATGACTTTGAAACCATTAGCAACCTCATCATATAAGTATAAAGCCAATAGTAGCTTCATTTTAATTGAATAGAAAGTCGGGTAGTCATCTCAAATATAATTAGACAAAACATTTGATAATTCAATCATCCACGATAGGACATTTTCATCATTTCCATTTATCATTTTAAAGCGATCTACATAGGTTCAAAGATTACCTAAATGTCATAAGAGTCTTAACAATTTCCTTTTTGGACTAGTTTTACTTCTTTCAATCTCAATAAAGATTAATTATTTTTGTTAGCCAAGAAGGAAGAAATAATTATTCTTGAGCTATTTTTCAGTTTTGTCGTCCAAATTAATGTTCAATAACAAAAATTATTTTTTTTACCCAATCCAGTATTCCTATTTCTTTTGAGTCTAGTATTCTTGTTCTTTCATTAACAAATAAATCATTTTATTTGGTTTCCTACTTCACTACTCGACAAACAAAAATAATAAAAAATAGAGTTTACAACATCATGTTATTTACGCCAAACACAACATTTATCCAATACAATTTTTATATTTTGTTCTTTCTTAAAACTAATTTGGGTTACCTTTCACTACCAACACTAAAAAAATACATACTTTTCATTTATATTGGTTATGTCTTAAATTTTAGAGCTAGTATCCGAACCGATAAGAAGGATTTGGATGTGTTGGTTTTGGTTGGTGATTGATGGTTTTAGGTGTAGTTAATGGTGGCAGTAACTATTGAGTTGTTATGGTGGTCCAAATGGAGGCATGGTAATGTTTGGTGGTTGGTTTATTTAAGAAAAAAGATTGAATAAATAAGGAAAAAGGAGCTTGAATGGTAGTGAAAATATGTGAGGGGGTCTTCGATAGTAAGCCTTAGGAGTAGCCAAAGTTGTGTTTTTTTCCTAAAGATAGAAGATGAATAGTAACTAAATGTGTTGTGTCCGGTATTGATCAATAATGAGAAGTAGTTTTGGTAGAAGAGCTATGATATTTAAGTGAGATTAGTGAGGAGGCTACGGTGTTCAAGTGGGAGAAGGAAGGGAATTTTCAAGTGAAGTAGGAGAAGGGGAAGTTCTAGGTCAGAAGGAGGGAAGTTTTGATGAGAGGACGGCTAAGCATCGGGTGAGATTATGGCTAGGCTACTACCAAAAAAAAAAGGGGTGGCCATTTGGGTGATGGATGGTGACTCGAATAGCGAGTAGAAAAGGTTGTTAATGACTATTTGGTATAGAAGATTTATGTCAATAAGGAAAGGATGATGGTTTGTGTGGTTGTCATGGTGTCGGTGTCTCGAGTGGAGGTTAAAGATGCTAGGTATGATAAAAGAGCCGAGGTTTTTAGTCACGAGGTAGAGGAGAGGGCGAGCATTAAGGTGAAAGGAGGAAAGGGGAGATTAGGAGAGGTTTCGATCGAGAGATGGAGGAATGGGATATTCGGGTGAGATTTTTAGGAGAAGATGAATAGTAAATGGTATCAAAAAAAATGAGAAGAAGATGGATATTTATAGATAGAAATTAGGGTTTTTTAGGCAAAGATTAAATATGGTCTCCGATTCCTTTTAATTCGTTAAATTAAGTAAAATTTTGATTGTTTGAACTTTGATGGCACCCTTAAATTACAATTAATAAGGACCTCTTTTTTAAGATTTCTTCTAATTATGCCTTTCCTTTCTTTTATTTAAGGATTTGAGGTTTTAAGCTTTTTAATTGTATCCTCAATTAGATTTCTCTTGGTTCTTAAACTTTTTTTTCTTTTAATTGGACACCCAAGAACTAATTTAAGCACTTATTTAAATTAATTTTTCTCTTTTTTTATATTTGTTTGTTTTTTTTTTTTTTGCTTAAAATAAAAAGAAAATAATAAAGGTGAAAAATTGGATACAAACAACACTACAACAAGAAAGAGGATTACAATGAAAAAGGAGCTCAACTAGAGCAAAATAATTAAAAACAAATAGACATGTTAAAAAGAGAGGTTGCTTAGGCTTGCTACTCTATTGAAGCAAAGTCTATAAAATTACATATCTACTGAGGTGCTCGTTTAAAGAAAAATCGACCAATCATCCGCTCTTTCATAAGTGTTCTCTACTTATCCCATCATCCATTGCTCAGCCTACCACTATAATACCACTTTTTGGCATGCCTCACTTAGAGCCTATTGGGGCTACTAATTAGGTCAACCTTACTATACCGGAAGGCACCAACTAGTCTTCTACTAGAACTTTGAATGCTACTTTTGTGTTTCCATAGGCTAAGTAAATGCTAATAGTTCCCACCATTGACTTGACTATTAAAGAAATGGTAAATGAGAAAATGGCCTCCGAACTTGAAATTGAGAAGCTCACGATTGTTAAAGGCACATATGTATATGATCCTCTCTTAGTCCGGACAAAGGCCTAATACCCAATAGATTGATCCCTAGAAAATTCAAGGTGCCTAAATTTTTCAAATATACTAGGAGTCAATGTCCTTAGACCTACTTGATAATTTATTTAAACAAGATAGCTAAAGTGGTGTATGATGAGAATCTATTAATCCACTTTTTCTCCAAAGCCTAGATGGATATGCCCTTAGTTGGTTCATTAACTTAAATCGGACCAAGATCAAAAAGTGAAAAGATTTGGTAGAGATATTCATGAGGTAGTAAAAGTTTAACTTAGAGGTGATGTTTAATAGATCATGCTTGTAGTCCATAAAAAAGGCCTAAAAGAAGTCTGTGAAGGAATACATTCAATGATGGTGAGAAAAAACTTATCATATTCGGTTATCTTTTCTTGAAAAAGATTTATTACTTTTTTATCAACACTTTTAAAGCTCTCTATTATGATTACTCGTTAAGTAATTATTCAAATAACTTTGTTCGGATAATGTCTACTAATGATCGAATTGAACAAGTCATTAAGTTATGAAGAGTAGTTGATCTTTTAAAATCTAGACACAAAAAGAGTAATTTTAGTAAGAGAAAAGACTCGATATGCATCGGATTAAAGAGTCTTCTTTCCATCCAATGGGTTAATGGAATAACTCTTAAAGAAATAACAACCAATTTGTTCCTCAAAATAACATGGCTAACTCGACTATGCAGTTTAAGATCTCTACAAATGCCTTTCCAACCAATATAGCTAGACCGACAACCCAAACACCACACGGTCTTTACCAAACACCACGCATTCTTCACCAAACTACTCACACACTTATCCTGCCATAACATCAACCTAAAATACCTTATCGGAATCCTCAATCATTCAATAATCAACCAAGACCACCCAATTAGAATCTTTTAAGAAATCCCAATAGAGGAAAATTTAATGATATATAGCCACCACTTCGTATCTCCCTTGGTAATTTTTAAAACACCTTGTGACCATTGAACAAGTGAATTATGTTGTTTTAAGGGGAATAAATACATCGTCATTGAATGATGTGGAATATGACAAGAAGAGATTTGTTTTGAAAATCTCTATGTCTAACTTGTTTGATATGATGATTGCCAATGGTTTTAATGCAAAACCCATCGAGTACCAAGCCTTTCTCAAGTCAAGTAATTTTGTAGATTCCATAAGGTGAATGGGGATGATATTAATCACTACTATGAGTTCTATCAAATAGCTCGGACTATGTTGGTATTGGGGTCCCTAAGGAGAGAAAGAGAGAAAACGAAGCCATAGTTGAATACAATGGCTTTAAATTTTAAGAACAAACATTCTTAACTCTTACATATAAGGAAAATGGACTAAGCCCTATGAATCCGATCTTAAAAGCTCATACTCTTACAAACATTGATTATCGAGCTACTTCTCATAACTGTGGATCTTCTTCTCTAATTGGTAGGTCACATGTTGTAATGAAGATCTTTTTTTAATAGAATAGTTGATATAAAAGAGTTACACACACAAAAATAGGTGTTCAAATCAAAAGAATTGAGAGCAATAAAAAAAAAGGCATTGAGGCCATTTTACTAAACATTATGGTGAACAAACTTGTGAAAAAGGAAGAAGCGATGGAATTCTTAAAATTAATAAAGCACAATGAGTATAGTATGGTAGACTAACTAAATAAGACTCATGCTCATATTTCTTTGCTATCATTAATACCTAATTTAAAGCCTCACTGCAAATCACTTTAAAAAGCTCTCAACGAAAAGTATGTCCTATAAGATATCACCTCCGAATCAATGAAATATTTAGTGAGCAAAGTATAGGCCACTAATTACTTATACTTCATGAAAGATGAGTTGGAACTTGATGCACTAGTTATAACAAAACCTTATATATCAATATCAAATGCAAACATTATATAATAGTAAAAGTGTTGATTGATAATGGAACTGGTCTCAATGTGTTGTCTAAATATGTAATAGACTATCTACCAGTTGATCCTTTATATATGAGATCAAACAAATGATGGCACGAGCCTATGATGACACACCTTGATAAGTCATTAGTGATATAGATATTGACCTAAATGTTAGACCATATCAATCCTAAATCACTCTATAAGTGATTGATATTCAGCCTACCTATAACATGTTATTGGGAATACCTTGGATCATTTATGATGGTGTTGTTGCATCTTTATTACATCAAAGGATAAAGTACATAATTGATGGTAGGTTAGTTACTTGTGAAAGTTAAAGAAGTCATGGCTATGACAAAAAGTTTATTAGTTCTATACATTAAGGTAGAAGGAACACATGATGGTAACTTATATGTCTTTGAGATGTTAAATGCTAATTTAGTTCTTGAGAATTCTAAAAAAAGACTTGAGTTATTAGAAGTTATGAAAATAGTAACTAAATACATGACGAAATGTGGGTCACCAATATTTGACATCATAAGTGGTCTCGCTTGAGAGGGTCAACTACATATAATTGAGAAATTTAGACTAATGTTTCGATCTAGGCTTCAAACCATTGAGAAAATATTATCAAATGATGGTCGAGTAGAAACAAGAGAAGGATGGCTCGTATTGAAGGGTGTGACCCTAATGATGAGAAGATTGATTTTTCTCTCATCCAAGTTAAAATTTCTCATATGTAGCTCATACAAATGATGAAGATCTTAGCATGGAGCGAGTTATTCAAAGACATGCTAGTAAACACTCTAGGATTTAAAGAAATTGATGATGAAAGTCAATCTACCCAACCAAGTGTTAACCCCAACCAATTCAAGTATGATGATCATTCCACAACTCATAATCAACACACTCAAAGAGACCTTTGAAATTGACCAACTTGTTTTAAGTTTTTGAAAGGAGAAGAGTTGCGTAAGTGCCTTCGGTCTTCAAGACCGAGTAATCTTCCTTTCATGATTATCTTTATTCTTCAAATATTATAGTATGCAAAAACATTAGATAAATTGTTATCAATTTTCATAATAATATTAATTTATGGGATTATGCAATTTTTTTTTTGATTGCCATCTTTGCTTCTTCTTTTTTGTTTGTTTTTATTTGTACTTTCATTTAAAGGAACACTTCTTTAAAATTTAAAATGATTATGCTAAAATAATTGACCTAATTTTGATGAAATTTTAATTACAATGATGAAAAAAAGTGGGGTGAAGGTGATATTCGGGAATTTACTAAGTTAGGCGAGCAATCAAAATGTTCTATTTAGCTACATATTGAAGAACTAGAAGTAGTAAATGTAGAATATGATATAGTTAAAAGTAGGCACTCGATTGCGGATGCGGAAAAACAAACGTTGATATCCCTTATGAGAGAATATGTAGATGTTTTTGCATAGTCATAAGTTGATATGTCATGCTTAGATACTAAAATAATAGTACGTAAATTACCCTTGAGCCGGAGATGCTAGCTACTAAAACAAAAATTGAGAAGAACAAGACTAGATATTTTGCTAAAATTCAAAGATGAGATATAAAAGTAGTAAGATGTTGGGTTCTTAAAAGTGCTCGAATATCCTCAATGGGTATCGAACATAATCGCCATGGAAAACAAAGATGGAAGAATCCGAGTATGCATCGACTTCTATAATTTGAATAAAGCCAATCTAAAAGATGATTTTTCATTGTCACATATTGATTTTCTGGATAATGTAGCAACAAATGCAAGTTATTCATTCATAAACGAGTTCTCGGGATACAATTAGATTAAGATGGTTATAGAAGACAAGGAGAAAACAACTTTTATCACTCCTCGAGGAACCTTTTGCTACGACCTCATGCCTTTTGGTTTAAAGAATGTTGGAGTTACCTATCAAAAGACCATGGTTATATTATTTTATGACATGATGCATAAAGAAATTGAAGTATATGTGGATGGCATGATTGCAAACTCCAAGGATGGTGAAGATCACACTTAGGCCACGAGAGGACTATTAGAAAGACTAATGAAGTAAAGATTGAAATTAAATCCAAAAAAGTGCACATTTGATGAGAAAATTGAAAAGATGGTTGTATTTGTAATAAGCAACAAGAAG